CCACTTTCAGGTGACATACAATGTGTTCAGACGCAATACGCCTCCAGACAATATCAGCTGTGTTTCGACGACTACACATTTAAATATTTTCTGTCATGTAATTAACAGTTTATGTTTGTGTTTGTAAGCACTATTTGTCGTTAGAGGTATCTTTAAACGGAATAAAATTATAACATTTCTCTTTCTATTTAAGTGTTTATTCTTTTTTCGGCCCTACATGAGAGAGTTAGTGAGTGACTGTGAGGTAGTATTATTTGAAGCTATTATCAATAATATTCACGATGGAGAACTGAACCGGGTTTTTCGGCATCGGTTAACTCAGGGGCCAAACAGCCCATAGGCTAAGTAAGGAACAATCTCTCATTGCCTCCAAAGAATTTGACGAACTATGTGTTCTCGTTTTAAACATATTTGTTCCAAGAGAAAGAAAAGGGATTGGCAAACAAGCTCAGTGGGCGTATATATATGTGTGTGTGCGCTTGATTTGAAATATGTCATTTTTATCACATAGAAACCTGATTCCATGGACCCAGTTGGACAATGTTATCAACCTGTGTCACCGTACCCATTACTCGACATGTGGACACCCATGAAGATCCGGGTTAGAATTGTTCTTCAACAACACATGCTTGTCGTAAGAGGCGACTAACGGGATCGGGTGGTCAGGCGTGATGACTTGGTTGACGCATGGCATCGTATCCCGATTGTGATGATCGATGCACATGCTGTTGATCAGTGGATTGTCTGGTCCAGACTGTATTATTTACAGACCGCCGCCATATAGCTGGAATATTGCTGAGTGCGACATTAAACAACAAACAAACAAACAAACGACATGTGGTGGACATTAGTTCCCACAAGTTCACGCATTGATTCTTCCTCCGCCCCTTCTTCACACCTGTTCATCGATAAGTATTAATCACACCCTTTTTGATTGACCTATTCATGTGCATACATCGACATGTGAATATTACTTCCATCTCTTTCTGCAAATTCACCCATGCCCATACATCGACACACGAATATTAGTCGACATATGGTTATACGGTTCAATGAACCTGTTAGCGTCGTTAAGCGTCTGCTGTTTTCAAATGTATTAAATATTGGTTAAATCTTATTAACATGCCTGGATGCCGTTTGCCTCGAAAATGTTACAATATGATGCGTATGTATGATGAGCAAGGCAATGAGAACTGGGTTACCAAGGTTAGAAATATCATATTTAAATTAGGTTTTGGTGATGTTTGGGTATCACACACTTACGGAGATAAAAACGTTTTTGTTAAAATGTTTTTTCAACGACTGAAAGATAATTTTCGGCAAGTTTGCCATAGTGATTTATCTGAGAGCCCCAAAATGTTTACGTATTGTAATTTTAAATTAACGATTTCTTGTGAAACATACTTAACTCATATTACTGTATCCAAATATAGATCTTGTTTATCGCGATTTAGGTTAAGTTCCCATAGTTTAGAAATTGAAAGAGGCCGTTACTATAACATTCCCCGGGAACAAAGAACATGCAAAATGTGTAACTTAAACGTAATTGAAAATGAATATCACTTCTTACTTATCTGTCCAGCCTACATTGAATTAAGACGTAAATATCTTTTGTCGCAATTCTGTTTTCCCCAATATACTAAAATTCAATTCGTTGTTATCATCCAAAAATGAAGACATTTCCTTGAATACTGCTAAATATCTGTTTTATGCATTCGAAAAAAGGAAATCAATTTTGTCATATTAAGATTGTATATATTATACATGCTTTCATTGTTATCATTTTATTTCATGTCTGCACCGATGAGGTGTTTTTGTACTCATAGGCCCGTGGCCTCATAGTATCAGAAATAAAGATTTGAACCTGTTAGCGTCGTTACATCGACACAGTATAAGTAGCACCGCCTCTTTCTGTGAACCGGTTCACACACATACATCGACACGTGGGCGTGGAAGCCGCGTTGGCTGAGCGGTCTAGCCGTCTGACTTTGTGTGCTGGCGATTAGGTGCCTGACTCTGAGAATGTGGGTTCGAATCCCGGATGGGACTCAACCCCAAAAGTACTAGAATCTGTACTTTACTAAGAAAGTGTAATCCCAATATAACACATGTCACATTTGACCACTTTCTAAAATGGCATTGTGTATTTCACGTGGGCGTAAGTTCCCACCCTTTCTTTTCACCCGTTCAGATCCATACTTTGCGACACGTCAATGTCAGTTCATACCCTTCTACATTCCTGTCACGTCCATACATGGACGCGCAAATATTAGTTCCACCTCCCATAAACCTGTTCACGCCCATACATGGACACGCAAATATTAGTTCCACCTCCCATAAACCTGTTCACGCCCATACATGGACACGCAAATATTAGTTCCACCTCCTATAAACCTGTTCACGCCCATACATGGACACGCAAATATTAGTTCCACCTCCTACAAACCTGTTCACGCCCATACATGGACACGCAAATATTAGTTCCACCTCCTATAAAACTGTTCACGCCCATACATGGACACGCAAATATTATTTCCACCTCCTATAAACCTGTTCACGCCCATACATGGACACGCAAATATTAGTTCCACCTCCTATCAACCTGTTCACGCCCATACATGGACACACAAATATTAGTTGCACCTCCTATCAACCTGTTCACGCCCATACATGGACACGCAAATATTAGTTCCACCTCCTACAAACCTGTTCACGCCCATACATGGACACACAAATATTAGTTGCACCTCCCATAAACCTGTTCACGCCCATACATGGACACGTAAATATTAGTTCCACCTCCTATAAAACTGTTCCACCTCCTACATACATGGACGCCCATAATATTAGTTCCACCTCCTACAAACCTGTTCACGCCCATACATGGACACGCAAATATTAGTTGCACCTCCTATAAACCTGTTCACGCCCATACATGGACACACAAATATTAGTTCCATCTCCTATCAACCTGTTCACGCCCATACATGGACACGCAAATATTAGTTCCATCTCCAACAAACCTGTTCACGCCCATACATGGACACACAAATATTAGTTCCACCTCCTACAAACCTGTTCACGCCCATACATGGACACGCAAATATTAGTTCCACCTCCCATAAACCTGTTCACGCCCATACATGGACACACAAATATTAGTTCCATCTCCTACAAACCTGTTCACGCCCATACATGGACACGCAAATATTAGTTCCACCTCCTATCAACCTGTTCACGCCCATACATGGACACGCAAATATTAGTTCCACCTCCTACAAACCTGTTCACGCCCATACATGGACACGCAAATATTAGTTCCACCTCCTACAAACCTGTTCACGCCCATACATGGACACGCAAATATTAGTTCCACCTCCTACAAACCTGTTCACGCCCATACATGGACACGCAAATATTAGTTCCACCTCCTACAAACCTATTCACGCCCATACATGGACACACAAATATTAGTTGCACCTCCTACAAACCTGTTCACGCCCATACATGGACACGCAAATATTAGTTCCACCTCCTACAAACCTGTTCACGTCTATACATGGACACGTGAATATTAGTTCCACCTCCTACAAACCTGTTCACGCCCATACATGGACACGCAAATATTAGTTCCACCTCCTACAAACCTGTTCACGCCCATACATGGACACGCAAATATTAGTTCCATCTCCTACAAACCTGTTCACGCCCATACATGGACACGCAAATATTAGTTCCACCTCCTATAAACCTGTTCACGCCCATACATGGACACGCAAATATTAGTTCCACCTCCTACAAACCTGTTCACGCCCATACATGGACACGCAAATATTAGTTCCACAAACCTGTTCCTACATGGACCTGTGGTTCACGCCCATACATGGACACGCAAATATTAGTTCCACCTCCTACAAACCTGTTCACGTCTATACATGGACACGTGAATATTAGTTCCATCTCCTACAAACCTGTTCACGCCCATACATGGACACGCAAATATTAGTTCCACCTCCTACAAACCTGTTCACGCCCATTCATGGACACGCAAATATTAGTTCCACCTCCTACAAACCTGTTCACGTCTATACATGGACACGTGAATATTAGTTCCGTTTACTTTCTCTAAATCTACACATCGACAAATTGATATTAAATCCTCACTTTTATATTCACCAGTTTATACATTACCACGTGGGTAATAGATCCTGCCTTTCTATACACCTGATAACATTCTAATTCGACACGTTGATATTACTTCAGAACTTGTATAGGTGTTAACAACTATTCGTCGACATGATATTCAGCACTTTACATGTCCCATTGAATCAACCTGACAGAACAGGTTGTTGAGATAATATATAATAGCGTGAATGCTTTCGTTATCGTTTGTGATAGCCCAATCACATAAATATTGTTAAGACGTCGAAGTGAAAATCCATGCATGCCTACTTGCCAATGAACCTATGACAAACACTTTGCAAGTATACTCTTTCAAAATTCCCTATAAATGCCCCGTAATTAATCAATTACAGATAACATCATTAATTTACAGATACAGGATATCCTTGCTCATTTAAAGGCAAAATACGAACATGTATACGGTTTCGTTGGATACTGTTATGACACTGACAGCATAAGTTAGGCAGGTCAGTTCAGAAACGGTTCTCAAAACAATTCTGTAAGTATCCAGCCTTATTTGAAATATCAAGGATTGTGTGACTGAATATCTATGCTTTTAATCTCTGAGACTCTTCCACGCGAATGGCCATTGCGCACCACCGGTAGTTGCAAATAGCTCTTCGCGAGATTTTTGAAAGGCTGTCGATGTCTGTCGGACATACATACGTGAAAAAGGTTAACGTCTTCTTAAGTGCAAACATATTAATAATACCGACGAGGAGAACATCTTTAATCTTGCTCATAAAACAGGAAAAAAGTTTTCGTCAATCGTAAATCTGGATTTAAAGTCAACATAATATGCTTTTCAGGAAACTTACGTAAATACTCCGCCGCGAAGGTGCCCAGGCAATTGGTTTCTGGTCCGATCGTCCAACCCAAGCTGCATTAAGTCCAATTAAGCACACCAGCACAAACAAACAAAGAAAATTGCACATGTTTGTGGAATGTCCCCGCTCCTAACGCCCTGGTGTATCAGCTCTGTGCCTCTGCCCTTCACTAACTGTTAGGCCTACTGTATCGATTGGCAGATGTATGCTTCATAGGACCTAGGCGTAATCCGCGAATCACACAGCCGAGACCCCAGTCTTATGTAGATTGACGCGACGGACCAGTTCATTTCTTGTATCAACGAGTCCAAAGTTGGTACATCTGCCCACGTGCTTGTCATGTTCTCTACAACATATATATTTTATGTTTTCAAAGAATCCCTGTTGGTTTTTACCCATGTTGGGTTATTGATCAAATTAACGATTATATATACAGAACGTTCAGAAACTTTATGGACTAAACGTAACATCACTGACTTGATGAAATTATTGACGTCTTCGAGAAATTTATTTTGCAGTTGTTTTTGTTCACAGAATAAGTAAATTAATTATTAATGGTAGTGATTGTTATATGGAAACGTTTTAACTGGCTTGTTGATGTATTGACCGTAGTGAAACCTGCGTAGGTTCATTATTCCAATATATAGGAGTCAGTCGGTAGAACGTAACGACAACACAACGGGATATATACAAGCTTACGATACATTATAGCTAAAATTGATGAAGCTCTGTTGACTTATAAAGATACAGTCTCAACACGGATGAGAGATACAGTCTCAACACGGATGAGAGATACAGTCTCAACACGGATGAGAGATATATGTCTCAACACGGATGAGAGATACATGTCTCAACACGGATGAGAGATACAGTCTCAACACGGATGAGAGATACATGTCTCAACACGGATGAGAGATACATGTCTCAACACGGATGAGAGATACATGTCTCAACACGGATGAGATACAGTCTCAACACGGATGAGAGATACATGTCTCAACACGGATGAGAGATACATGTCTCAACACGGATGAGAGATACATGTCTCAACACGGATGAGAGATACATGTCTCAACACGGATGAGAGATACATGTCTCAACACGGATGAGAGATACAGTCTCAACACGGATGAGAGATACATGTCTCAACACGGATGAGAGACACATGTCTCAACACGGATGAGAGATACATGTCTCAACACGGATGAGAGATACAGTCTCAACACGGATGAGAGATACATGTCTCAACACGGATGAGAGATACATGTCTCAACACGGATGAGAGATACATGTCTCAACACGGATGAGAGATACATGACTCAACACGGATGAGAGACACAAGTCTCAACAAGGATGAGAGATACATGTCTCAACACGGATGAGAGATACAGTCTCAACACGGATGAGAGATACAGTCTCAACACGGATGAGAGATACATGTCTCAACACGGATGAGAGATACATGTCTCAACACGGATGAGAGATACATGTTTCAACACGGATGAGAGATACATGTCTCAACACGGATGAGAGATACATGTCACAACACGGATGAGAGACACATGCCTCAACACGGATGAGAGATACATGTCTAAACACGAATGAGAGATACAGTCTCAACACGGATGAGAGATACATGTTTCAGCACGGATGAGAGATACATGTCTCAACACGGATGAGAGATACATGTCTCAACACGGATGAGAGATACAGTCTCAACACGGATGAGAGATACGTGTCTCAACACGGATGAGAGATACAGTCTCAACACGGATGAGAGATACAGTCTCAACACGGATGAGAGATACATGTCTCAACGCGGATGAGAGATACATGTCTCAACACGGATGAGAGATACATGTCTCAACACGGATGAGAGATACAGTCTCAACACGGATGAGAGATACATGTCTCAACACGGATGAGAGATACATGTCTCAAATGGGCGTCATAACGTCTTATGACTCCCAGGAGACCAACCGAGAACTAAAATATCAATACATTTGGACTGAATACTAGATTCCAGTGGTATTGATCGGGGGTGTAAGGGTGTGTGTGGGAGACTGATGGGGAGTAGTTTGATGTCATTTTCGGATTTGGTTGAGCTGCATTTTACGCTCCGTGAGTCAGGCCGTCGTAACGATAATTCGATTGTCGTAAATTAGAGGAACTCGTCCATGTACTACTCTCTGATTAAAGGAACGATCCCCTATGAAGCTTCATGTCTTAACGTCACTGGTTATATAGTTTTATGGTTTCCAGAATGTATATATCCGATTCTGGGTTGATGAGTAAATATAATTATTCTGAGTCACTGACAACTAATACGATATATACGCTGTCATTGAGATCTTCATCGTCATGACGTCACAGTGTACTTTTATGTCGCATTATCGTCATCTCGTAATAATAATTTAGGTTTGCTTCGATTTTGCTAGAATGTTATCGACATACATGTTGTGTACATGATTTATTTTCAAGTCATTCACAACAACTTAAATGTGGTTGAGTAACAGCAAATACATTTTTCAGTATGTAAATACGCAGTACCAGTAGTCTTAAAGAATATATTTTTTTCTTTTTGACCACATGTTAAATACACCATGGTCAACCCGGACATCGGTTAAATGCATGCCATGTTTAGCGCTATGGTTGTCTTTTCCCCATTTCTCAATACTAGTTGCAGAGGCTATAGGAAGCCGTAGTTCCCATTCTTCTACGGCAGTTGTAGCGCTAGAGGCCCTCTTGTTTCCATTCTTTTAGCTCTAACGACAACGACAGTTTTAGCTCTAGAGGCCCTCTTGTTTCCCAGTCTTTAACGACAGTTGTAACGCTAGAGGCCCTCTTGTTTCCCATTCTTTAACGACAGTTTTAGCTCTAGAGGACCTCTTGTTTCCCATTCTTTAACGACAGTTTTAGCTCTAGAGGACCTCTTGTTTCCAGTCTTTAACGACAGTTTTAGCTCTAGAGGACCTCTTGTTTCCCAGTCTTTAACGACAGTTTTAGCTCTAGAGGACCTCTTGTTTCCATTCTTTAACGACAGTTTTAGCTCTAGAGGACCTCTTGTTTCCATTCTTTAACGACAGTTTTAGCTCTAGAGGACCTCTTGTTTCCCATTCTTTAACGACAGTTTTAGCTCTAGAGGACCTCTTGTTTCCCAGTCTTTAACGACAGTTTTAGCTCTAGAGGACCTCTTGTTTCCCATTCTTTAACGACAGTTTTAGCTCTAGAGGACCTCTTGTTTCCCATTCTTTAACGACAGTTTTAGCTCTAGAGGACCTCTTGTTTCCCATTCTTAAACGACAGTTTTAGCTCTAGAGGACCTCTTGTTTCCCATTCTTTAACGACAGTTTTAGCTCTAGAGGCCTCCTCGTTTCCCATTCTTTAACGACAGTTTTAGCTCTAGAGGACCTCTTGTTTCCCATTCTTTAACGACAGTTTTAGCTCTAGAGGACCTCTTGTTTCCCATTCTTTAGCGACAGTTTTAACTCTAGAGGCCTCCTGTTTCCGACATTCTTTTTTCCACTTTAACGACAGTTTTAGCTCTAGGGGCCTCCTCCTTTTTCCCATACTTCTACGACAGTTGTAGCGCTTGAGGCCCTGTTATTTCCCATTCTTCGACGATAGTCGTGGTGCTGCCGTTACCTTATATTTTCATTCTTCTACGACAGTTGTGGTGCTACCTGTATCATATATTCCCATTCTTCTACGATAGTAGTTGCGCTAGAGGCTATCGTTTCTCCAATTTTATTCGATAGTCACAGCGCTGTGGTGGTCGTTAAACTAATTCTCTGTTATTCCAATATAAATTATGAATTATTTGTTGTCAATGTTGGAAGGATTATGCGTTGAACAATGGCAGTAATTGATCTAAGGGCAATTAACAATCACGGGTTCCGAAAATATACCTAACACAATACATAGTTATCGATATTCCGTGTTACATGAACAGAAACAGAGTGATTGGAACGTGGTACCATAGACTGGCGGTCATCTTCTATTGATTGTAAACACTTTCCGTACACAATCATGTAAGCTGCGTAAGCTCATTTACACAGCCCTACTAAACAAGGTAAACGGATCATGTATAACGATTCTGCAAAATTAATAATCTCTGATACCAATATAACAAAGGTTCAAGTTTCCAGCTGTCTTCCAGGTTTATCTCCGTATGTCACGATTAGCATCTTGTTAAAACACAATGGCTTGTGTAATTATTCTTGCATTTAATGTTACTTGTTGAGTGAGTAGAGTGAGTGGGAAGAAAGCCTGAAGTTATTCAGATCTCAGACGTATGCCACGTTCATGAAACACACGAGAGGATTTATAGTGTTGATAAGCAGAATAACTCAGAACTTAGGGCTACAAACCGGCAAACATATGTTTTTTTTGCACAGCGAATTGCGCGTCGGAGACTACTGGGCCACCCCTGCCCCTGTTTATAATTGCTCAAAATAATCACATTTTATTATTGGTCATTTTTCTAATTATATTTGTTGAATCATTCTTTCTTCTTGTATCGGTACATTATTTGATGGCGTTAGTTAATTTACGTCATATTTATTTCATTTGTGTGCAAATGACGGAGACAGCGGGATCTCTCGAAGGCCGCCATCAATGTGTTTTAGTCTCCTTTCCTCCGACCCAGCAAGCATTAAGTTAATAACTTCCTTTATTTAATTCAAAGGTCAATGTTCGACGTCAACATATTGTGAGTGACGCAATCAAAGAGCGTTGCCGAAGTTCACTCCACAGTTTGACTTTACTTTGATTTTTTTCTTGTATCTTTTGTTTGCATCGGAGTGGGATTCATGTCTCTATTGATCAGGTGTAATTGTAGTAGAGCAAGACATTTCAGATTGGGTTTTACACAAAGATAGCCGCGGTTTCTGCAGAGTCAGCTGGAGTGAAAATGGGTCTCTTTTCACAACAGAACCACTGTAAGGGCAAATTGAGAGATACTGAGGTTTACTTCTTAAAGGTCTGTGCGTGCGTGCGTGCATGTGTGTGCGTAAGAAAGTAAAGACAGAGAGAGAGGAGGGGGGGGGGGCAAATATCTGTGTGCCCAGCTAATGACGTCAGTTTTTAAAGAATCGATGCAAAGTGCATTTAATGTTACTACGTCATAAGGATGGCGCCATCAGTTACGTCGCCGAACATGACCATGCTGTTCATGAAATCGGACTTCCCACGGAGGTATAAATGTAACGATTGTTAGCTGTTGTTCTATTGTTACAAATCCATAATTGTTC